TCGACAATTAAGGGACTTGAAGCAAACCACGACCGTCCAAGAATATGCCGCAAGGTTTCGCAACCTTCTTGGTCAAATTGAAGGAATGCATGAAGCCGATAAAGTCATGTATTTTACAGAAGGGTTAAAAGGAGCAACTAAAGCGGAAGTAAATTACCGCGCACCTGAAACTCTAGATGATGCAGTGAAGTTAGCTGCAAGTTATGATACCGCAATGTATGGTGCGGCAAAGAATGTGAACAAACGATACCAGGTTAAAGACTTTAGGCAAACTTCATACGGGAGTTGAAAAAATAATAAACCTTCCGATAGTTACACACCACAACAAACAAGAGGTCCAATTCCGATGGAGTTAGATAAAGTCGAAGTTGGAAGTTCGTCACATATTAAATCTAATCGTATAAATAAAGGAAAAAATGTATTAAATGAAGAAACAAAAAAAGAATACAGGCAGAAAGGATTATGCTTTACCTGTGGCTGGAAAGGTCATACCGCAAAAGAGTGCCGAAGTAAAAGTCGACCGCATAATGAAATTAACAAGGTTGAAGACATAAAGTTAAAAGAAGTAAGAGAAATAGGTACAATTAATGAATATAATAAGCCGAATAGGGAAAACCTTTTAAAAGTAGAAGGGAAGGTTCAAGGAAAGAAGGCACTTATCTTAATTGACTCCAGAGCGTCCAAAGATTTTATAAATCTCCAATTCGTGAGAAACTCTCAGTTAGAAATGAAAATGGAAGAATCGGACACTACAACAGTAGAATTAGCCGACGGTTCCTTATGTACCTCACAAGGAAATATAACGGACGTCGCTGTTGAAATCCAAGGGTATAAAGAAAAAAGAAAAACCATGGAAGTCATACCCTTACAAAAGTATGATTTAATTTTAGGAAAACCATGGCTCTTCGATAATAATCCCTACGTTAATTGGAGAAGTAATGAAATGAAGATAAAAAAAGGACATTATACTTTTGTAATTAAGGCCAATAAATTGGAAGATACAAAAGAATGTCAGTCAATCCTTGTAACAAGGAAACAATTCGTTAAAGAAGCTAAAGGCACGGCGGAGTTATACGCAGTACTTTCCGTCCAAGATTCAAGTAAAAACATCATACCGGATCAAATACCAGAGTTTTTAAAAGACCTGGTTCAGAAGTATAAAGACTTATTCCCCGAAGAGCTCCCAAATGAGTTACCACCTAAAAGAAATGTTAATCACGAAATTCCATTGCAAACAGGGAGTTCCCCGCCATATGGTCCTATATACCGATTATCAATTCCTGAGACTAAGGAATTAAAAAGGCAAATTGAAGATTACTTGCATAAAGGTATAATTAAGCCAAGTACATCACCTTACGGGGCGCCTGTTTTATTTGTAGCAAAAAAAGAAGGGACTCTTAGAATGTGCGTTGATTATAGAGCCCTCAACAAGATAACAATAAAAAACCGGTATCCCCTACCACGAATAGACGAATTAATTAATCAATTGCACGGGGCGAAATATTTTAGCAAGATAGATCTCCATTCTGGATACCACCAGATAAGAGTAAAAGAGGATGATGTTCATAAAACTGCGTTTAGAACAAGATATGGACACTTTGAATTTTGTGTCATGCCCTTTGGGCTGACCAACGCACCTGCCTCCTTCATGAGATTGATGAACGACATCTTTAAGGATCAGCTTGATAAAAGCGTTATCGTCTACTTAGATGATATATTAGTGTACAGTAAAAATAAAAATGAACATTATGATCACGTGCGTCAGGTCTTTGAAATTTTAAGGCATCATAAGTTGTATGGGAAAATGACAAAGTGTGAGTTAGGAAAAACCGAAGTTGAGTTTTTAGGCCATGTCATATCCAATAATGGAATCAAAGTAGATCCCAAGAAAATTATCACCATTAAAGAATGGCCTGCATTGACTAATATTCATGACCTTCGTTCCTTTTTGGGTCTTGCAAGCTATTACCGCAAGTTCGTGCCGAACTTTTCAACTATAGCAACTCCATTAACTAAGTTACTAAAAAAGGATGAAAAGTTCGTATGGAACGAACCTCAAGAATTAGCCTTTAAAGCCCTTAAGGATGCGTTAACCTCTGCCCCAGTTCTATTAATACCTGACCCTGATAAACCTTTCTCAGTTACAACCGATGCATCTGATGTGGCAATCGATGCAATTTTATGTCAGGATCATGGAAAAGGGGACCAACCTGTAGCCTACGAGTCGAGGAAGTTAACACCGGCTGAGTTAAATTATCCGGTACACGAAAAGGAACTTTTAGCGGTTATACACGCTTTAAAAGTTTGGAGAGTATATTTAGAAGGACAATCTTTTCAAATAACTACTGACCATGAGTCACTTAAATACTTACAATCTCAAGCAAAGTTATCCCGTCGACAAGCCCGTTGGGTTGAAACACTCCAAGCATATGACTTTACCATTAAATATCGACCAGGAAAAACTAATATTGTAGCAGATGCCCTATCAAGGAGGCCCGAAGCCAATATTATTAGTGAAATTAACATAGATGCAAGTGTGTACGAAAGAATAAAACAAGAATATAATGAAGATACTTATCTCCAAAGAATCTTGAAGGCATTAGACGACCCTAATTGCGATGAAGCAAAAAAGTTGGGCAAACAATTGAATCGGTTTGAATTAAAAGAAGATGGTTTGATTTTCTTTTATGAAGATAAAGAAAACCCTCGGTTGTGTCTTACCAAAAAATCCAAAACACGTATGTTGTTGCTTAAGGAGCAACATGATTTGTGTGGCCATTTTGGATTTGAAAAAACATATGAAGGCTTGAGAAGACATTATTACTGGAAAGGAATGGCAAAGGATATAAAAAAATATATACGTAGTTGCGACAGCTGCCAGCGTAACAAAGGTTCCACACAAGCTCCAGCAGGGTTATTACAACCTTTGGAAATTCCTACGCAGCCTTGGGAGGTAATTTCAATGGATTTTATCACACACCTACCACGTACAAAAAACGGTAACGACTCGATCATGGTGGTGGTGGACAAACTAAGTAAAAAAGCACATTTCTTACCTACAAAGGGAACTGTATCAGCAATAGAGGTAGCACAGCTCTTTTTCCATAAAATATTTAGACATCATGGACTACCTTGATACATAGTATCAGATAGAGATCCAAAATTTACGAGTAAATTTTGGAAAGGCCTCTTTAAAATTTTAGGAACTGAGTTGAAAATGTCTACTGCAGCGCACCCTCAAACCGATGGACATACAGAGCGCATGAATCGAATACTTGAAGAAGTTCTTCGTGCCTATGTAAACTACAAGCAAAATGATTGGGATCAACTTTTAACAGCTGCTGAATTTGCTTACAATAATTCATTACATTCCTCTACAGGATTTACTCCCTTTCAATTAGATAATGGCCATCATCCTATTACCCCTCCTAGTTTGTTAGTTGGCAATCGTCGACAGACTAATGTGAAGGCAGCGCAGGAATTAATGGAACATTGGGTAACAATGATTAATGTTGCAAGAGATGAATTGGTAAGTGCCCAAGAGAAACAAGCGCATTACGCCGATAAGAAAAGGCGCTATGAAGAATTCAATGAAGGAGATTTAGTAATGTTGAACACTGCAAATTTAACTTCACCTGAAAATTTGAAACGTTCAACAAAGAAACTTACACCAAAGTTTATTGGTCCATTTAAAATTACAAGAAAAATTTCTACCACAGCCTACCAATTAGAGTTACCCAACACCTTGCATGTTCACCCGGTTTTTCATATTTCGTTACTAAAATTATATCAACAAAATAAGTTTGAAGAAAGAAATATGGCTCAGCCTCCGCCCCCGATCTTTATGGAACACGACTTGGAACACGACTTGGAACCTGAATTCGAAGTCGAACATATATTGGACAAACGAATTTTTCATCGCCAACCCCAATATCTTGTAAAATGGAAAGGTTACCCGCTCTATGATGCTACTTGGGAACCTATAACGAACCTTGGCAACTGTAAAGACTTAATACAAGCATTCGACGAAAAAGGGGAAATTGGTTTAAATAGGGGAGAGTGTAAGGGTTTAGATGTAGATTACATCAGTCGGGGTGGTACAGGTCATGTGGAACGTGACCTGACGAACGAGCGAATAAAAAGTGGGGATTATAAACCTTATGATCTGTGCTGCGAATGTCGTCACGTGGCTGGGTTCGATGGGTCGGAGTCGCATTCGAATCGGGAAGGGTAATCGAGTATAGTGATACGCATGATAAATGTGTAATATGAAAGTCTATGATAGTAATTAGTAGCGAATGCATAATAAATGTAGTCATAGTTAATTTAGCATTAGTAATAATAATCGTATTAGTAATAGGGATAAAACCGAATATAAAGGAATAGAAATTCGGTAAGAGAAAGGCACGCTTTTCCTTAATAATAAATAAATAAACGTTACGTTCGCATAAATATATAGAGATACATTCTTTATACACACAAACGATCAAACTGCCGTTCTGGTTAACCCACGCCTACGATCAATAGGTTTGGTTACAAAAAGTAGCTTAAAAGATATTGTTATTTAGAATCAATTGTAATGAATCAAGGTCTTTGAAGATATAGAAATAAGCATGCAAACAGGTAAAAGATAATGATACTTATAAAGAAATTGGAGTCAAAAAAGAATGAATAGCAGAAAAGATATCTAATTAATAAATAGCAATAAAGTTGTTAAATAATCTATTGTAATTAAATATATAGTTATATTAGATATTTAAAGGTCATAATTCTGCCTTCAACTTGTTTTCTTAAACTTTAATTTTTCTTTAATAATTATTTATCTTTATATATATAATTTTCTTAATAGATAGCTTTGAATTTTCTATTTGTAGTTGCAATAATTTTTATATAGTTGCTTTTGTATATTTAAAATTTATTACTAAATTTAAGATATACAAAATAAATTAATCTAATTAAAATTAATAAAAGATAATTATTGTTAAACAGAAGTATAATAAATTTTAATATAATCAGGTTTTTAAATAAAAAAAAATTTATAAGTTCTAATGTAATTAATATATATAGTGATTTATTATACAAATAATATAAAAGTTTTGCCTTTTTTGCATATCAATATTGACTAATATAATAAGAATAATATTTTTGAATATACAGGTTTTTCTTTATTTGAACTAGGTTTAGCTAATTTTCTTAATTTTAATTATATTTTTTTAATTTTTTTTGTTTGAATTATCAACTGATTTTTTGCAATACTTCTAAGTTTCACAATTACAAACTTTGCTTATC